TGAATTAGCACAAAGCACCCTGTGAGTGCACTTCATATTAATGGAAACGTGTTTCAGTCAGTCACCACAATAATCCTCTGCAATAGGGATTATGCTATTCCTTTTATAGAAAGAGAAAATGAGTTACTGAGATACTGAGTAACTTAAGTTAGAGCCACAGCTAGTAAGTGATACAGTCAGGATTGAAGACCGGACCTAGTTGATTTCAAGGTTCAAGGGTACATTGTTTTTCTGTACAATCAGGTGCCATTCCAGGAAGGTTAATTTCAACTCAGTACAAAACAAGACTTTCTAAAAAATAGGGCTACCAAATGAATAAATGTCTTCAAAACTCAGTGAACTCATTAAGCAGAATTCAACAAGAGGTCAGAAGACGTAACAGAATAAAACTGTCAAAGAAGCTGGAAAATGAATTACTCTGTTGGAATGTTGGTTTATACATTCCCCTTTTTGTCTAAGATTCTGTGATTGCATAGCAATTATAGGCAGAGAAACACACACACGCACACACACATAGAAAGTCCTCATGGTAATGTGTAAAAGATTAACATGCATAAAACTGTGCATGCCAAAATGCAATTGCAGACAAAATGAATAATAGTAGCTGGTATTAATTAAACCTCTACATTACACCCTCCTTTATACTAGAAGATGTGACTAACACATTTTATGCATTATCTCATTAAAGGGACAAAATAATTGTGGCTACCATACAGGAATTTTATACAGATTAAATTAATACATGTAAATGACTTAGAACAATGCCTGACATATAGTGTTAAATGTTATCATTATTACTATTAAATGTTAAATTACTATCAAATGTTTAACTATTACTATTACTAAAAACTAATAAATATTTATTACTATTACAAATAAGTATTACTACTAAATGTTAAATTACTATGAAGTGTTAAATGTTATAATTATTACTATTATTCCTTGCAACAAAGAACAATAATAGAATATCAATACGTGACATGTTTTGGTAGAATGCAACTTCAGTAAGAAAGGAGAGGAGAAAGGAGCAAGCAAGTTTTCTTACTATTTATTATGATGTGAGTAAAGGCAAGCTGGTATTTTAAAGCATTATGTATTGTAACCCAGAGTAAATATTTGGGCAAGTTTCTTAATCTTGCAAAGTCTTAATTTCCTTACCCCTAAAAAGGAAATTATTTTAGCACCTACTTCATAGGGTTGTTTTGAAGATAGTATAGTATCATGCAACCAAAGCACAAAATTTGGTGTTTTGAAAATAGATGTCTTTAGAAAAATCTCCAAATATGTAAAATAATGTAAATTCACAAGTTGGCATAAAATAGCTCCAGAATGTTTTCTCTTTCTGTTCTCCCCATTTTCTCTCCCCTAGACAATTCCACTGAATCTAACAGGGCTTATCAATGCCCTGTGCAATGGCTCAAGCCTGTAAGCCCAACACTTTAAGAGGCCAAAGTGGGAGGGTCGTTTGAGCCCAGGAGTTCAAGACAGCCTGGGCAACATAGGGTGATCCCCGTATCTACAAATAATAGTAATAAATTAGCCAGGTGTGGTGGTGCTGGCTTGTAGTCCCAGTTAGTCGGGAGGGTGAGTTGGGAAGATTATTTGAGCCCATAAGGTGGAGGCTGCAGTGAGTGATGGTCATGCCACTGTGCCTGAACCTGGGTGACAGAGCAAGACCAAAAAAGAAAGAAAGAAAGAAAGGAACAAAGAAAGAAAGAGAGAGAGAAAAAAAGAAAGAAGGAAAGAGAGAAAGAAAGAAAGAAAGAAGGAAAGGAAGGAAGGAAGGAAGGAAGGAAGGAAGGAAGGAAGAAAGAAAGAAAGAAAGAAAGAAAGAAAGAAAGAAAGAAAGAAAGAGAGAGAGAGAAAGAAAGAAAAGAAAAGAAAAGAAAGAAAGGGAAAGAAAGAAAGAAAGGATAGAGGGAGGGAGGGAGGGAAATTAGCCAGGCATGGTAGTACACACCTGTAGTTCCAGCTACAAGGGAGGCTGAGGTAAGATGGTTTCTTGAGCCTGGGAGGTTGAGGCTGCATGATCTGTGATCTTGTCACTGCACTTAACCGGGATGACAGAGCTAGACATGTCTCAAAAAAAAAAAAAAAAAAAAGCTAATAGTGTTTATTAGAAAACAGGAAACAACAAAGAAATGAAGATTTATATGGCTCCAAAATGAATTTCATGATTTTACTAAAAATGTGATTCAATAAAAATTATTAAGAATTTATTGTGTTACAAGAGCAATTGTGTTTTTCTCAGTGATGTGAAGGAACCATGAGTATATGAAAAAGCATAACATGGAAAAGGCACGCCTTTAGCCATCAGAGAGCCTGATTTGAAATCCCACATTTACATTGAACAATACTTTGGGCCAATGTTTTAACCACTCTAGGCCTCAGTTTCTCCATTCATTAAATGGGAGTGATAACAGTATCATTAGACAGTTATAAGGATTATAAAATAATCATGACAAATGCTGGCACATAACGGGCATTCCATATGTGTTAGCCATTTATTGTATGTAAAGCAACAACAATTTCTAAATAAATAATACTGTGCATTGTATGACAATTTTCATGTACATTCATAGTAACAAAACAAAATATTTAAAAGTTAAAAGTGTCATGAAATTTGGTGATTTAGGATCACTCCCACACACATAATGCAGCCTCCAAAACATTATAATTTGATGAGAATAGAATACTTGCACATAAGTAATGACCAAGAATAAGAAACACATGTAAATAATTATCTATAGAAATGTGTAAGATCTCAATTACAGAAAAAAGTAAGTATAAAATGGTAAGTACAATGCATGAACTCTGTACTAATGGTAAGCTTTGTAAGGTCCAAGACCACATCTCTTTCATTCATCGTTTTACTTCTAGTCCCTCACACAAGGCCTCTCACAAAGTCTTTGTTCGATACTGTGTTTATTTTATAAATTTTAAAAGTACAAAAAAATGATGGTTATAATGTCCCCTGTAGAACTACTAGAGATGTTTATGTTATTGTATCCTAGAGAAAATCACAATATAACATTCTAATTATATATTGCTAATTACATTTGTTTATCCATATAAACCTGAACTAAAAGGAAGTTTTTTAAAAGCTAGCCGATTTGTTAATATTGTAGCCTGTTTTATTTCAACCCACAAAGCTTGGAGACATCTTAAAGAAATACTGATTCAATCTGCTCAGGTTACAGACAAGGAAACAGAGGCTTAGAAAGGAGAAGTGATTTACCCAAGTTTGTTCAGGATCAAATATCAAAGGCCAGATTTCTCAGTCCTCTCTTTCTTTTAACTGGACCATGCTGCTTCATTCCCAATCCACCAACACACACACACACACACACACATGCACGTGTGCACACACACTCACATGCATGCATGCACAAACACACACACACAGAATTAAGTACTTGCTTTAAGTAAATTTTATTTTTATCTCTTTATCCAATACTTCTCCATGAAATTTAGAAAAATAATTAGTCTACGTTACCCATTGTAGTATAGGGCACACAGAATGTGTTTAGTAAAATGTTTATTTAACTATTGTTTCCCTCCAGTGGAATTAATATCAGGTTTCAAAAGGTAAAATTTTTCAGATCTGGAAAAGGGCCAATATAAGAGCCCATTTCAGTAGATAAGAATTTGACAATATTCTCTCAACAAATGTTCATACCACAGGAATAGAGTAACCAACAAAAACTTAAACTGTTCCTGTTCTCACAGTTATCCCTGAACTTTCAGGGAGGTAACATTAATTAATTAAATATATAGCTGTACTAGCAGTGTATAACTACAAACTGAGAAAAATCTACGGAAGTAAATTAACACGATTTTTTGAAAGCATATAATGAAGTAATCTTCCACTAGAAGGTGATACTTGAGTTTGAGTATCTGTTGAAAGATCAGTAGAAGTTAAGTAATGACACCAGTATAACATGATGAATTTGAGATTCTATGAGGAGACTATCTGATCAGAGTGATGAACACATGGTGATGAGAAATGAGATATGGGAAGGATGCTATTAGAAATAAGAATGGACAGATGGATGGAATCAAGGCAAGATTATGAAAAATCTTGAAAATATGATAAAAAGATTAAGAAGAAAAGATACATTAAATAATAGTAAAAACTAATAGAAGATGCATATGATAGAAGATAAGCCTGATTAAGTACTTTACAGACATTATCCCCTTTGATCTAATTACTTCCATATTTACAGATGAGGAAACTAAAGCTCAGAGATACAAGACAATTTACTGAAATATGTCAATCAGCAAGTGCCCACTTCAACCTTTGACTGCTTGCATTTGAGTAGAAGTTTTCCAGAAGAGGACTGAAGTGATGACAATTGATGAAAGCTTATAGAATGGATTGGAGAAACTATATGACAATTGATGATGGCTTCTAGAATGGATTGGAGGAACTAGGATCAGTTCTAGAAATATTAAAATATTCTAGCTGTTGTAGAATCCAAATGGGAAGAAATCTGGGCCTCACACCAGAGTACCGGTCATGAGAAAGAATAAATCCAGTCAAATTGACAGAATACAATTGTCTTTAAAAGGAAATTTTGATAAGAAATTGGTTTTCAAGAAGGCAGGTGTTAAATTAGGAGGGGAGAAGTCTATACAAATTTTATACATGGAGTGTGCTAGTAAGAATATAAAACATATTTTAAAAGTTAGTAATTCAGGGTTCAAGGTTCAAACTTGTCTGAAAAGGGCTTTCAGATATTTGTCAGAATTTATGACTAAAAGGCAAACGTATTCAACTAATACATATGTTAAAATGCACGCTACACGTCTTACTTTTGACTAATGAGATTTCAAATCCACCCTGATTCACTCCCGTTTACAGAAGGAAATTAAAAAATTGATTGGTTACTTCCTTCGCTGCATACGGACACCTTGATTGGCCAGCTGCCGTGTCTAGGCAACCAGGTGGAGAATCTTTGGAACAAGTAGCAGACTTCATCACAGCAGGAGCCATGAGGCAAGAAGCTCTGGGATCAATTAAAATGCCAGGCTTTTCCAGGCTGGTTTCCAGCGCATCTGTGCATGATTCCACATAAATTTAGGGAATTAGAGATCAGACAAAGGTAAACATTTCTGTGCTTTGCTTAGCATTGATTTAGAATGCAAGGATGAAATATACCACAGTCATCTAGCCTGGAGGGGGTTTACACCTTCAGCTGATTTTTTTTCCCTCCTCAATTGCTTTATTATTTTAGGTACGTTGTAATTGAAGGCTGCTTAAATCATCTGCGTGTTCCTTTGAGAAAGAGAGGAGAAAAAGAAACAAAAGAAAAACCAGTTCCTTCTTTCATAGACTAAACAGTGGAATGACTCATTCTTTAATTTTATAATCACATCTCTTAAAAAGAAAAATTATTAATGATCTTCATTTTCCAGCTATTTGGTTTCCCCAGCTTCGGTTAGATAAAAAGCTCACTCCTGTCCTCCTAGAGAATGAAAGACAGTTTCTCCCTTAAAGTCTAAATAGTCTAACCTCTCATAGTCTTTTCCCTGCCCACCACCTTTTGTTGTTGTTGTTGTTTTCTTATTTCATCTATCAGCTAAAGTCTATGGTTTTGTTTGTGTCCTTAGCACAGAAGGTCTTTTACTGCCTGTGTGTTAGGGAGAGGTTTAACTTCTGCAAATCCTTTGTACCTGGGGTGAGGTGAGGGGTTAGAGGTGAATCTTGGAAGTAGCAAGCAGCATGACAAAGACAGTACAGATATGGAAAAAGTACAGACAAGTGGCTGGAGACAATGACCAGGCAAACAAATATCATGAACAGCAAATTATACATTTTTACATTTTTAAATCCTACAGAAAAAGAAAATTCTCTGATATTATAGAGGTAGCACAGATTTACCTTTTTATTAAGCAACAAGGAGAGAAGCAGAAAACCATCAGTTTTAGCTGAATATTAGTAAGGAATTAGAAGTGCAGCTTTGAGTCATCTTCTAAATGAATATGACCCACTCAATATCTCTTAGCCTGTTTCCACACCAGTAATAAGTGTTAAAAAGATGTCCAAATTTCTTTTCAGTTTTATAGTTGTAAAATTCTCTGAATTAATTCAAAATTTTAGAAAGGCTGAGGAGAAAAATGAACATTTATTGAACTCTTAGGGGTGGACTCAATGCTCAATATATTTACTCTATTTTTTTATTCTGATGACAATCCTGAGAGGGAGACAGTATCTCAGTTCTACAGGTGAGGGGCCTGATGTTTTCATACAACAATAAATGACAAAGCTCTTGTCTTTCTGGCTGTCAATCAAGCTCATATTAATTCTATTTCATCTACCTTCTGAATTAACGTCATCCTCAAGAATTCTTATACAATGAGGACTACCCACCTAAAGTTTGACTTAGGTGAAATAAATCATTTATTCTATATGTACTATAAACATTAAGTGCAGTATAATATAAATCTATAAAGCCACTTCCAGGAGAACATAAAAGCTTAAGAAAATATCAGTTTAACCATCTCTTGCCATTTGGTCGGCAGACTATGTGAGAAATAGCAGTCTCCTAATAGAACACAATACGCAAAAAGGTTGAGAGTTGGATTCTCCAGTCTGGTGTTCCAGCTCTTGATATCACAGAGTAAGGTGATGCAGATCTTGCCAAAATATATGGTGAAATACTTTAATAAGAGAGTGAGTGTAGGTTAAAACTCCAGCAACTTGTAGAAGGGTATTTTAATTTTCTGTCATCCCCAAGTGCCTGTAATTAATGCTGCTTACATTCAGTTGGCATATTTATGACTTGAGTTTCCTCCTTATATCCTTTCTTCATTTTTTCCCTACCTATTAGCAGTGCTCAGAGACTGGGGAGCAACTGACTGCAATTCAGTGGAAGCTGACAAACTTGCCTAAGAAGACATCAATAAAAGAATGATTTCCATAAAGCAGCAACTACTTCTGCTACATTCTTGGAGCTGATACAAATCTAATTTTTAAAGTTCTTCATTAGCTTAGAAAAATTATGCTTCTTCTCAAAGGGAGTTGTTTGTTTTTGCTTCTTTAGAAAGAGCAGTTCCTCAATAATACTACTCTAGATGGTAAATAGCTATCTTAGTTTAGCCCACTATAGAATATAAGCCTCTGCTGGGCAAGAATCATACTCCTGAAGAGTCAGAAATCCCTGCCCCCATGGATTCTGCGGGGAGCTCTGCTCCGTCAAAACCTGATGCTCTCTGAATTGCCTTTGAGTGATTCTTCTTCTTCTTTTTTTTTTTTTTTGAAGACTACTACAAATTTACAGCTGAATAGCTTTATCATTCTGTCCTGTAGAAGCTAAGAAATTTGACAGTGTTCCTTTATTTCCATTTATTCCACTCTCTTTTTCCCTTTTAATTCAGATTGGCTATATCTTTGCTGATAACCTCATCTCTATTCCTAGTCTCTGTTGAGATGACTGATGAGGTTCATGGTTCATACCCTCACTTATTACCTTATCAAAATGTTGGTCAGTTACCCCCTTGGTGTTCTTTATAAACATACCTTCTCATTTTTGCAACATAGACAGGCTGAGAATTTTCAAAATCTTTAAATTCTGGTTTCCTTGTGCATAACAATCTCTAGTCATTTTTTGAGATGATTTTATTATTGATTCTCAAAGCTTTTCCAGGTATACCATCATGCAATCTGTAGCCACCTGCAATCCTTAACATCTTCAATTCATTTCCCTCTCCTCTCATTTCACTATAGGGAGTCAGGAGGAACCAAGATGCTGCTTTAACATTTTGCTTAGAAATCTCTTTAGCTGAATATTAAATTCTATCACTCGCAGGTTTTGCTCACCACAGAACACTAGAATACAAACACATTTCAGCTGAGTTATTTGAAAGTTTATAACAAGGAACACCTTTTGTTCATTGTTTAATAATATGTTTCTCATTTTCATCTCATATGTCACTAGAATGGCCTTTACCATCCATATTTATACCAACCTTCTGTACATAATTATTTATGAATTCCTCAAGAAGACGGGTACTTTCTCTATATTTGTTTTCCTTTGTTTCTGAGTGCTTAACAGATTTATTTTTAATATTCTCTTCATCCCAATATTGGTTTTTTCAAGCACGCACCTCAAACTCTTCCAGAATCTACCCATTACTAAGTTTCAAAACTGCTTCCACATTTTTATGTATTTGTTATAATGGGACCCTACTTCTTGGTATTAATTTCTGTCTTAGCTTGGGTATCTATAACAGAATATCATAGACTAGGTGGCTTAAAACTATTAATTGATTTCTTACAGTTCTGGAGGCTAGGAAGTCTAAGATCAGGGTGTCAGAATGGTTAGGTTCTAATGAACCTCAGTGGCCCCCTTCCTAGTTTTCATGGGGCTTTCTTGATGAGTCCTCACATGGCAGGAGGAGAGGAAGAGAATAGAGATAGAAGAAGAGAGAGACAGAGACACAAAGAAAGGAAGCTCCCCTGTGTCTTTTCTTATGAGGGTACTAATTCAATTATGGGAGCTTCACTTGCATAGTCTAATTATCTTCCAAAGGCTCCATCTCCAATACTATATCCCAGTGGGAATTAGCATTTCAACATATGAATTTTAAGGGAAGAAAAATGTTCATGGGAATTATTACAGCTTGTGAATTTAATGAAATAAACAAGCTGATTTGTAATAGCATTAGACGTCGAGTTTTTCATAATTTTCCAGGGAAGGTGCATTGCACTTATTGCTGATTTTGCACAAAATGTATGTTCACAGATTTGTAAAAGGAGACTTCTGATTTTGGCAACATGAATAATATATCCAACAGACTCCTCACCCCCTCAAAAACACATAGTAGCAGAAGTTAACAATAACAACAACAAATGCACACAAATGAATAGGTGTACTCAGGAGAATGAGTGGAAATCCCAAATTTTTGAAAGAAGAGAACTCAAAAGAAGAAAGTAAGCAATTATATTAATCCTGTAAACATCCTAGGGAGAAGAAAATCCTGACATAGGTCCTACAATCTAGTACTTAGTGTATATTTCTTACTTGGGGATAGAAAAACAGTGGCTTAAAGCTGAAACTCGGACCCCTTTACTTGAGTAAAGCAGAGGACTATTAGAGTAGCCTCCTCCATCTAAGTGAGAAGAAAAACAACCAGTCCATAAAAAAGCAAGGAAACTTGACTCTGATTGGGTCTTGGATTGTGAGAAAGTCTTCAATTAGTAACCAAAACTCTGAGCCTATTCCACATGCAGGTGAGGAGCCAAATTTTGGCTGTCTTCTAGGAATCTGTATATCTGTCAGCTTGAGCTACCACAACAAAACACCTTAGCCTGCTTAAGCAAGAGAAATGTATTTTCCCACAGTTCTGAAGGCTAGAAGGCCAAGATCAAGGTTCTGGCCAATTTGATTTTCGATGGGGGCTTTCTTCCTGGCTTGCAGTTAGTTGCCTTTCACTATGTCCTCACATGGTTTTTCCTTGATGCATGCATGTGGAGAGGCAAAGAGAGAGAGATGATTCATATAATCGGGAAATGCAATTTAAAACTAGAATACCACATTGTAGAATTCTAGTGAATTTCACATTCACTAGAATATTGATAATAAGAAAAAAACAGCCAGCATCATCAATGGTGAGAATGTGTAGACAATGGAACTCCCACATGTAGGTGGGAATGTAAAACCAGTATAGCCAGTATGGAAAAGTTCAGCAGTTTCTAGCAAAGTTAATCATAAACTTACTGAATTAGTTTGCTACAGCCATCATAACACAATACCACATACTAAGAGATGTAAATAATGGAAATTAGTTTTCTCACAGTTATGGAGGCTGAAAGTCCAAGATCAAGGTGTTGACAGTTTTGGTTTCTCTTGTTGTCTTTTTATTGTAGACATAGGGCTTTTCATTATGTTCTCACATGAACTTTCTTCTGTGTACAGGCCTTCCTAGTGTCTCTTCCTCATTTTATAACAAAACCAGTCATACTGGATTAGGATCTCACTCTTATGACCTTGTGTCAACTTAATTAACAATTTAAAGATGCTGTCTCCAAATACAGTCACATACACATTTTGGCAGAACACAATTTAGTCCATGACAAATACAATCCAGAAATTCCTCCCCT